TATCCATACAGCTCGTTAAAAACAAAACTCCTCCTCAGTGACTGTTCCTTAAATACATGGAGTCACCTGGAAGCTACGGTCGGAATTCTCTTCTGAAGTGGGAAGCCGTTTAGATTCCTAGCCAGAATTTCGTTTGTGTGCTGCTCTGGGGTTTCAGGGAGCCCCCTTTTTTTTTTACTCTAACACAATACAGAAATAGAATTACAGTTGACTCACAGAAGCATTGGACACGCAAAGCTGGGCTCGGAAGAGGAGCCGTTCAACGTCTCTCTCTCCAAGACTGCTTCTGTAGAGCCTTCCCTTTCGCTTAAAAGGAACTACATTTTCTCAATAATGAGAAAGGGCAACGCTGCATTTTTTATGAAGCAAAAAAATCTTTTTCCAAAGAAAATTTAACAATTCAGTTTCCACCTGCACCTGGGATACTTAAAAATGCCACCGAACAGCATTAGAACCTGTTGCGAGGCACTTTAAGTACGTGGTAAATTACTCCTTGATTTTTCTCATTAAACTTTCATATCAGCCATTAAAGCCCCTTCTTTTCACTCCTGATCAGAATGAATTCAAAGCCTGCCGCGACTCCTGTTAAATAAATGAAAGCCAACTTTTCACTCGGCTACCGTCTCCCTGCCAAATACTCAATCTTAAGAGGGCGCACCCGGCAAGCCGAGCCTCATCCAGGTGTGTGAACAACGACACGAGCACCCCGGCTATCTACAGAGTTCTGTCGACAGAGCCGTGCTTTGTCCTGCTTCCTGAGCTACCCCCAGCTTTTGGGGAAAAGACACCTTCTCTTGTGCAGCAAGCGGTAAATAACCCATTAGGGATTCTGTTTTATGCCGCGTGTTCCACGGCACTGCACAGAGACCTTAACACGTGCAGAGAGCTTTGTGATGTTTTAGTCACTCGCCCCCAGGACTGGATCTGCAAAATATATTTAGGAATGTATTTACTATTAGTTGCGCTTTTAAGTAGGGCATTTTTCGAACGGCAGAAAGGCAGTTGGACAGGCAAGAGCTGCTCGATAACGTTAATGCAGAAAGCACCGAGGCTTTTTCCTCGTATGCCGTTGCATTTGGCAAGATCTGCAAGCCGACTAGCGCTCTGGCACGGCTGAGCTTTTGGCTTCAGACAAGCAAAACTCATTTTCAGAGACGGAGCGCTACCGGAGAAAGCAACAAGAGCTTAACACAGTAGTGTCAAATGTTCTCGTACGAAGCCCTGCAAAGGCCGCCGTAATTAAAAATTCGTACGGGCCTTCGGGGAAGAATTTCCAGCTTATAAAATAATTTACCTGCTGTATTACGGGCAGGGTATTTTCTTGTCACTCTTCATTCACGATTGGGACGTTTTCGTTTTTTTTTAACCTTCGCTCCAGACTTCCTGCTTTGCCAGCTTCGGAAGAGATTTTTTTTTTTTGTTTCCACCCTACCTTTCCGCGGGGGTGAGCAGAAACGCCGCCTGTGCTGAGGCAGCAGCGTCTTGGGTTCTGCCTCGGCGGGGGGG